TCACTTGCAAACCCCCAAAAAATGTGATTGGCAGGTTTTCCATTACACCCCCCCCCCCCCCATTTTTTTTTCACACAACAAACTATTAACATATGTGAGCTACTGGCACATAGCATGATTGCTGAAAACAGAAATGTTGTTTTTTTTTCCTTTAAAAAAATCTGGCTTTGCATGACAATCATTTATTTACAAAATATTTATACCCTAACCTATCGATGCACTTTCCTTAATTTGTAATTTAAGCTATTGATGTTTGAAACCTTTCTGAATTAAGAAAGCTACATCTCTAAATGGAAGGGATGTTGGCTGGAATTTTATTTGGTGATTTGGAGAATCGAAGGATAGGTAAAGTTTGGTCTAGTGATTAAGGTACCAGGCTAGAAAATGGGAGATGGTGAGTTCTAGTTCCATCTTAACAGGAAAGCCAGCTGGGTGACTTTGGGCCAGTCATTGTCCCTCAGCGCAAATCACTTCCCAGTGTGGTTGTTTGAGAAAAAGGAGAAGGAAGGTGTCTTGGATATGTTCACCCACTTGGGTTGTTTGTAAAAAATAATAATAAAGGTGGGATAAAAATAAATAAAATAAAATTTAAAAATGCTATCAGTGTGTAATTCAAGAAGAGGTTTTGTTTATTAGATGGTTTTCCTCCAATCCTTATTAAAAATAATAAGGTGGGATATTGAATAAATAAATAAATTTCTTATGGAACTTTCTGGGGTGTTTTTTTCGGTGAAATTCCTCCCATCCCAGTGATCTGGGTATGTCTAGTTTGATGAAAAGAAGGACATGTGGTGATATAATAGCTCTGTTCCAATTTCTCAGGAGATGCCACAAAGAAGAAGGAGTCAAGCTATTCTCCAAAGCACCTGAGGGCAGGACAAGAAGCAATAGGTGGAAACGGACCAAGAAGAGAGACAACCTAGAACTAAGGAGAGATTTCCTGACAGTGAGAACAATGAATCAGTGGGGTAACTTGCTTCCAGAAGTTATGGATACTCCAACAGCGGAAATTTTTTAAACAGGGATTAGACAACGATTTATCTGAAATGATATAGGACTCCCTGCTTGAGCAAGGAGTTGGATAAGAAGATCTCCAAGGTTCCTTCCAACTCTGTTATTCCGTTGTCTTCAGCAAGAGATTCTTGGACTCCAGTTCCCACCAATTTCTAACCAGCCTGTTAGAATAAGGCCCTTTATCACATATTTAATTGATGCATAAATTGAGTGTCAATGCTTAGGACCTAGAAAGAAAAACAACTGTGTCATATTCTGAGCCTAATTTCAATATTTTGTTTCTAGAACCTACAGCTTTAGAACTTTTTATAATGTTTGACATTATGAAATGCTTAAACCAGTTCTAGTTCCAATTCCAGAGAAAGCTCAGAAGAGGAACGGAAAAAAGAAGGATAAGATTCTTTTGCACAAATGTTCCATACTCAAGAGTTTTTGCTGTACTAATAAGTAAAGTCTGGGAATAGCAAAGAAAAGTGACAACTTTTTTTTAAAAAAAAAAGGGTTTTGAAAGAGGAAAACAAAAACCAGAGGAACACTTGAACTAAATGGCTTTCAATCTTTTACAACAAGACAATTATTACATTACTGGAGGAAAAGAACATACAAGACTAAAGAGCCAGCAAGTTTGATAATGGAGGGCAAACTGTGTTCACCTTAACACAGGCATTTCCAAATGTGCCAGGCAAAGCAAGAAAACCTTAATCCACGTTTATAATAAGCTTTCAGTGACCTATTACGGTATTTGTGAAAAGGTAATTAATATTCAGTGATAGGCCCTTTAAATTTATTCCAGCTGATTTGTGAGCATGTTATAAATTTATCTTCTAGAATCCACCCTGCTGATTCCACCCACCCACCCCTTCTTCATTCCAGTATAATTTCTATTTTGTTGAAACCAGGTAAGCCAGATGGATGATAAATCTACTGAATATAATTCATGTCCTGGACTGCTGAGTTTTGGGATGAAGTAATAGGGTATATACAGTATTTTTTTTTTCCTTTAGAGAAAAGTTAAATGCTAGGAGCTGCAGATTTCTATTCTTTCTCTCTCTCTGTGTGTGTGTGTGTGTGTGTGTGTGTGTGTGTGTATGTGTGTATGTGTGTGTGTGTGTGTGTTTCCTGTATCACATATACACAGCCATTATCAGTAGTCTGATACCAAGGAAAACATCAAAAAATAATTTATGGTATCTTTTGTTGGCAGAAAAATGGAAGAAAGAAGTGCCCTTTTTTCTGTTTCTGATGATTTGTTGAAATAACATATTTTTTTTTTAATAAAAAAAGCAAGCACAGTGAAAAATGTGCACAACAATATAACAAGATCATTAAAATGTAATTCTTTAAAAGAAACTGGATGATTGCATTTCTTAATATGTCATAATGTACTTGAGGGACAACTAAAACATTCTGACAAAAACATTCACTTTGATGAAAAAAATGCATAAGTACAGCAATTTTCGACGCTATCTCAGTCAGTTAAAATGACACAAAACTCTGATTTTTATCCGCTGATAAATATATACAAGACATGATATTGTGCTGATTCAGACTCAAAGTATACACCTTTGCAAGACTGCTGAAATGAAGAAGGAACAAATATTGTTCACCGAGTCTTAAATTTTGTGGGGCTTTTAATAATGGCATATATTAAAAACCTAATAACCATATTCATAATTCAAATTTGACTTATCTCAAAGATAAGATTAATGAAGAATCCCTGGCTGTTGGACATTCTTCCTAAAAAAATCTAAAGAGTTCCATTTTGTTTTCTGTCCTTTCTTTCACAAAATAAGGCTTTCCAGAAATCTAAACTAGCTGCAGAACTTTCATCAAAGATTAAAATTTGTGAAATCTCCAACTTTTGAGATAATCCAAAGATTTAGGGGCCTGTATCCCTCCTTTTATGGCTGCCATACGTATCTTGCTTGCTGGTTGCCCACTGTGTCTATAAAAGTTATGGGGTGAAGATTCATGACCCATTGTTTGAAAAGTATCTCAGTGGGTGTAGTAACATTTTTTCATGGGAGGGTGTGTGTAGGGGTGTGTGTGTGTGTTTGAGTGACTGCATGTATGTGTATTTGTGCATATGTGTTTGTGAATGAGAGGGAGAAAGTGAATGAATTCATTTTTAAAAATCCTATATTACATGAAAATATTAAATGAATTTAATCTCAAAGGTTCTAATAGCGTTTATAGCAGCATAAATGAAACCCAAACACCTATTCTTATTGTCTAGAGAAGTATTAGCAGAGTGTAAAGAGAAGCTGAAGATGGAAAAAGGATCAATGCACTACCGTATATCTATCTTTGCACAACTGTTGTGCACTAAATCCAGGGTACCTCTGAGCTTTGCTGAGTGATGTGATGATCACAACGCTTCCTTACAGAGGCAATCTTTAGAAGATCTCAAGTTCATGCACGTATCATGTTCAGAACATTGTCCTCAGCCTCCCTCCAAATGCCCTTGACAAGATGTAATGGGAACCCTATTTTACCATAATCAAAGCCTGGTAATGGAATTTCTTGCAGATAAATATTATACCAAAACTGGAATGATACAAAGAAGATTAGCAGGGCTTCTGTGTAAGAATGGCATGCAATTTGGGGAAGCAATCCCAGAATAGAGAAATGAGTGAGAACTCAAATCCAGAACTTGCTTGGCCATTTGAGGGTACAATTCATGGCTTAAAGAATTTGTAGAATGCTTTTAAACAGGTCAATGAGATGTGGTTCCCAAAGGAAAGCTAGAAATCTATATGTAGAAAATTATTCTCATTTACTTAGCAGATCAGGAAGGAATAGCATGTCAAGAGACTAGGGTGCAGGTTTCAGTGTAAACACACAGAAGGAAGATAGAGCCATGGTGGCACAGTGGTTAGAATGCAGTACTGCAGGCTACTTCTGCTGACTGCTGGCTGCCTGCAATTTGGTAGATCAAATCTCACAGGCTGAAGGTTGACTCAGCCTTCCGAGGTGGGTAAAATGAGGACCCAGATTGTTGGGGGCAATATGCTCTAAGCCGCTTAGAGAGGGCTGTAAAGCACTGTGAAGCGATATAGAAATCTAAGTGCTATTGCTTGCTATTGCTATAGTGCATGCAGCCAGCTTCTAAGGCTCATGTATTATGTAAGAAATTCAACTAAAATTAACTTGAATTTGAGTAAAAGGGAACCACAATTAAATTCTTATGAGTAAAAGCTATTTCAAAGTTTTCTTTTTAACCAAAATGCTAGGGTTGGACTTACTGGCCATGGGGACTTTATGGATATTCGAAGCAGCCCTCATCTGCATATGTTGATCTCTTGTATAAAGTGATTTTGATAGATCAAATAATAGTTAGCGATCTTTTAATGAGAGGGGGACAAAACAGGTTGTGGACAACATAACTCTCAGACGATCTTATATTGTCTCTGAATTCACCATTTAGTTGCCACTGTGAACTCCTTGAGTATCTGGGGCTAGGTTGTATATGAACACATTCAGTAACTCTGATGGTGGAATTATTTAGATTACCAGAGTTGGAAGGGACCTTGTAGGTCATCTATTCCAACCCCTTCACCCTGCCCAAGCAGGAGAACCTACACCATTTCTGACAAATGGCAGTCAAATTTCTTCTTGAAAGTAATGAAGGTCCCACAACTTCTGAAGGCAACTTCTGTTCCGTGGGTTGATTGTTCTCACACAGTTAGAATGCAGTACCGCAGGCTAACTCTGCCAACAGTCTAGAGTTCAAGTCCTGACAAGCTCAAGGTTGACTCAGCCTTCCATCCTTCTGAGGTCAATAAAATAAGGACTTAGGTTATTGGTGGATTAATTACTATCACAACATCAACTGTATGCTGATGGTGTAAACCTCCCAGAGAGTGCACGGGTCCCCAACCTCCAGTCTGTGGATTGGTACTGGACCACAGTGTACCAGAAATTGGGCCACGCAAACAAACCAAATGTCAGCATTCCAGCAAACCTCCATTCCAATCAGTATCTCTGAGACAGACGTCATCTCAAAAGTACCTTTATTAGAAGAGCACCTGGCACATCTGTGGAGTCTCAAAACTAAAAGTTTCCCCTGGACTTCCCACAATGTCCCAACCTACAATCCATCCCCTTTTTCCATCATCACATCACATGGACCAATCAGGATCCCTCCCACTGTAAGATCCTTTTTTTCTGCTGCGCCACGCTTAATAACCTTGAACTAACAGAAGAATTTTATTTTGTCTACTTAGAACTACTCAATACAAATCACCCTTTCCCACTTTCTCAAACTATACGGCAGCGTGGAATATGGTTTCCAAAGCTGACACAAAACCCCATCCATGGGATTTAGTCAGTATGAGAAACCACATTCCCTCCAGTGTGTGGAAAAATAGAACCAGTCCCAGGTGTCCGAAAGGTTGGGGGTCACTGCTGTAAAGCACTATGATGTGGTGTACAGGTAGTCCTCAACTTACAACAGTTGATTTAGTGACCGTTCAAAGTTACAACGGCACTTATGACCTTTTTCACAGTTACGACCATTGCAATATCTCCATCATCACGCAATCAAAATTCAGATGCTTGGCTTGTTGCTGATCCCCAAGCAAAGTCAACGGGGAAGCCAGATTTGCTGTACAGCCGTGTTACTGACTTAACAACTGAAGTAATTCACTTAACAACTATAACAAGGAAGGTCGTAGAATGGGGCAAAACTCATTTATACAAATTTCTCACTTAACAACAGAAATGTTGGGCTCAATTGTGTTCATATGTCGAGGACTACCTGTATAAGTTTAAGCGCTATTGTTATTGCTATGAGAGCAAAACAAAAGGAGAAATCTTCCTGGTCACCCAACTTAATTTATAAACATTTTTGAAAGGATTGCACTTTGGAAGAATTGCCTGACTGAAAATGTTCATCAAATACGTGCAAATATGCATGTCTGTGTTTGCATTTGGCATTTTGCCTGAAAAAGAAAACAAACAAACAAACAAAGCTATCTTAGACGTAGAAAAAGCAATATTACATTAGAACCCCAAAGTTCCCTGTAAGAAATTAAAATCAGCAGTAAACATATCTAAAGTAAGTATCAAATGGCTCTTCTCTATCTTTTAATAAGGGCTTGGGAAACTTTAATTCAATTAATTTAAATCCTCCTCTCTTTAATTACATCCTGCTAAAAATAGTAGGGATGAAATCTTTGCCTGATGTTTTATTGGAAATGCATTTAAAATCTGGGAGCTTTGGAGATTCTCTTGGTGTTTCTCTCTTTCTGTCTCTCTCTGTGTCTCTCTCTGTGTCTCAGTCTCTTTCTCTCTCTCTCTGTTTGTCTCTGTCTCTCCCCCTCTCTCCTTCTCTCCCTCCCTCTCTCTCTTCTCTCTCTTTCTCTTTCTCTCTCTCTCTGTCTCTGTCTGTCTGTTTCTCTGTCTCTCTCTCTCTCTCTCTCTCTCTCTCTGTGTGTGTGTGTGTGTCTCCCCTGAAGTTGCAGGAAACTGAAATATTTTTCTTTAAAAAAAAACATCCATAAATCAAAATGCCCCTTTTGTCCCAGCTCGGGACATTATCTTTGAACTCCAGTTCAAAGCTTAGAACTCAAAAGAATGCTATTTAGCTTGGGGAATGAAAAGGGCCATTATCAGCTTGCAATACCAGTTCCTAGATAAATATGAGAAAAAAAAATTACAAATAGTAAAATCTAAAGGTGGAACAGTCAACCTATGAGAGAGACCTCTATCTCTGGAGGCTTTTAAGGCTGATTCTTATAAGTGGTATAATTATTTTTTCTTCCACATTATAGAAGGTTGGCCCTATCTAACAAAATGCATTTTAATGGTGAGAAAGTAAGGTTTTGACACTTTGGCAAGAAAAACAAAATGCACAGGTACAGAATAGGTGGTACCTGACTCAACAGCAAGGACTGCAAGGAGGATCTAGGCAATCACATAAATATGACCCAGCACAAAAATGTGCTAAAGTAAAGATAAAGGTTCCCCTCGCACATACGTGCTAGTCGTTTCCAGCTCTTATGGGTGATGCTTATCTTTGTTACAAAGCCAAAGAGCCAGCACTGTCCGAAGACATCACCGTGGTCATGTGGCCGGCATGACTAAGCATCAAAAGCACATGGAACTTCCCATCAAAGTGGTCCCTATTTTTCTACTTTCATTTTTATACGCTTTCCAACCGCTAGGTTGGCAGAAGCTGGGACAAATAACAGGAGTTCACTCCATTGTGTGGTGCTAGGGATTCGAACCGCCAAACTGCTGACCTTTCTAATCAACAAGCTCAGCGTCTGTCTTAGCCACTGAGACACTGTATCCCTAAAAGCTGTTACAACTGCCAAAAAAACCCATGAAATCCTAAACTGCATTAATAGAGGAATAGGCTCAAGAACACATTGTATATTATTACCGCTTTATATTGGCAGTGAAAACAATTAATGAGTGGAACAGCTTGTCTCCAGAAATTGTGCGTACTCCATCACTGATATTTTAAGAAGAGATTGGACAGCCATTAGTTCAGAATGGTGTAGGATCTCAAACTCAAGTAGAGGATTGGACTAAAAAGACCCCCAAGACCCCTTCCAACTCTGTTATCCTAACTTGGGTTTTGGTGATGGGATAAATTTCTGTCTGGAGGTTGCATCATTTAAGAACCATCCACCTGAACAATTCTATTTCTTCTACTGCTCATAAACTTGAAAGTTAATCCAGTATTTTTTTTCCTGTTTATGCCTACTTCTCTGAGTTTTATCCTCAAATGCTAAACCCTACACTGTTCAGTTTTTTGGAAGGGAGAAATGCCCCCATTTTCGGTATTGAATATAATTTTCCAGGCCAGTACAAGCAAGACGAAACAGTTAACATTTTCCTTATTCAAACTGCTTTTCCGTCCTTATATCTCAGTGAATGGATAGAGAGCAGGAGCAATAGCTTAAAAATAAAAGAAAGAAAGACTTAGGAAGAAAATAGAAGCGGGGGCCACCTACCACTTTCCAAGCTCTTTTTCGTAGCAGCAACATGATTATATTGATTTTATAAGCAGCAGTTTTCCTGTTAGCTGAGTTAAGCTATCACTATCTATTTTCCCTCAAAAGAGAGGCAAGATTTGGATTAGTAATTCTCTCTCAGACTGCCCAGAGTGAAGTTAAAGAACTCCAGTAAAGCTAGATTCAGACAGCGTGGAACTGGATGTCAGTCTAGTATCTTTTCTTATGGGAAGGAAGAAAAAAAAATAGCACACTTAAAACTCAGCCCCTATGTGAAACCAACCATGGTAGTTTGTAAAGCGGTGTTGGCCTAAACTGACTTCATTTAGAATGTACAAATCAAGATAGCCAGAGGTTAGTGTATCTCTGTTCCAGGGTGGTCTGCTACCGGTTTGCACCAGTTTGGGCGAACCAGTTGTTAATTATATGGCCAGTTTGGTGAACTGGCAAATCCCACCCATGGCTGGCCTCTCCTGCCCCTCCTCTCCCACTAGTCTTTGCACAACCCATTTTGGATTTCAGGTAAGTGCACGGCCTGTGCCAAGGCTCAGGGAAGGCCAAAAAAGGGGGCCCCTGGAAGTTCCACAAGGCTGGAAACAGGCCCATTTCCAGCCTCCAGAGAGCCTCCAGAGCTCGGGCAGGGTGAAAACAACACCACC